TTCTGAAATACAGAAATTGGAGTCATAAACAAGGTTTTATTTATTCTGTTCAAAGTTTACTTTTCCAACAGCATCTGACTAGTAAGGTCATTTCAGTTTATTGGCTTACCAGGAATAAATTAGAATTTAAAGCGAAAAGAACGAGCTCTTTAGATCATATTTCACACTAATCAATGCTGCTTTGATTTTTAAATCAGAACTAAGAAGGCTGTGTGGGAAGTTGTCTCAGCTGTTTACACAGATCAGGGTTTGAAGGACCATCATGGACCTGTGGGTTTTTGTTGTTTTCATGTCTCACATATACTCATCGTACTCCATTCACGCACATCCTCACCTCCATAAGAACTCCAGGACACGAGTGAGTCTTCTTCACATTATGACCCCGCTAAGTGCTGAATACGATAAGGCAGAATGGATGTTGGACAGCAGACTTCCATTTCAGGGCTCGGATGTGCAGTCTTGCAACTCCTGAGTGTCAGACATTATCGCCACCACTACCCTCAACCTCACCCTGCCCCTTGTGACAATTACCAGCCTACCTCCCCTATTCAGTGCGTAATGAGAAAACTGACTGATCGATTTCTGCCGGGCCGATGAAAGAAGGCACAGACCAGCCTGTGAGGTGCAAATCTGCACAGTCTCCATGTTATGACTTAGAATTTTAGGCTTAACTACAAGCAATAAAAAAATCATTTTTAATGTATTAAGGCAAATTTGAATTGGTTAGAATAATATATGACCAGATATTTTTTTAAAGAAGTCTTAAAAGTATTCCCGTTTGAGCATATATACATTGCAAAGTAGGGACTTTTTAAAAATTTAGTTATAATAATACTCTACACTTCATAATGTCCTGTCGTTCTGCTGGGGCACTACAGAATCAATTAAAACTTTTATCTCATGAACCACCAGACGGATTTTGATTAAACTGTACGAAAGTAATCATCGGATGTACATCAACCGATTCAACGTCTGGAGTCAATCCAGTTTAAGATGGATTCAGGATTCAACAAGCTATAAATGTCCAACTTTAGTCAGACACAAAAATGCACTGCCAGTAAACAAACAGGCTGCTAACGGGCTCATTGGTGGGTGTTATGGAATAATTATGTATATCTGTTCTACCTTGACACTGTCCAGTAATCATAGCTTATGTTAACTAGTTTCGTCTGTTTTACTCTATCGGCCCAGACTTCAAGACTCCAGCAATGTATGACCTCTCTTATTTTGATAAGGTAGCTCCTGGGCTGAGAGCCCTGGTTACAGTTGTCAAACTGTGATTGGTTGTAAGCATGTCACATGATGTTATATTATCGCTGCACTGAGGAAGCCAGCCACAACTCGACAGACTTAGCTGATTGACCTCTGTTTTGTTGTTGCTCAGATTAAATCATTTGACGACCATACACGCAGACTTTCTGTGCATTTATTCCAACGTGTTTCTGCATTCTTGGTAAATCGTGCCACCACAGTTTTTTGGCGTTGTCGGCAGGATGGCAATATTTATGTAACAAAGACAGAAATACGTGGTCCAAGAATGAAGGTACTCCGTGAGATGATCAGCTGAGTTTTATTGCAACAACAGGAAACACAGAGAACAACCTGCCCTGTCTCTGTACATCTGCTTCTCTCTGTCACTGTCTCTCCACACTACTGTTGAACACTCTGTCTCGAGAGGCCTCATTTATATATTAACAAACACCATTCTGTCATCTTGGCAAGATTTGATACAAGGTCAATGGAAAACACAAAGATTAACACAAGTGATATCTAAGAATGACTGTTGTTAGCAAATCTTGTTCCGACTTTAATCATTCTATCTGCAGATGAACATAATGTCGTGAAAACCTAGGTCCTTGAAGGATGTCACGAATAACTTGCTTAAAAATAAAAGTATTAGTTCCATTACAGTGGGCATCGAAGGTCACCCGCAGGTCAAATGTGACCACCAGTGCCACATCTCTGATCTAGACCACAATGCATTGCAAAATACTGATTTCCGTGCGCAGTATTGTTTGCAAAAAAGATCAACAAAGAACGACGTTGCTCATCTTCAACCCAACCACTTTTTGATCCAACATTTGGTCGATCCGGCCGAGCTGCTTTAACCCACTGGAGTTGTGGAAAAGAGCCCAGCGCTTTTTAGTGTGTGTTGACTTGTATGGTTGGTGGGGAAGTCTACAACCAATAAATTCATCCTGATTTATTATGGCTTTGACTGATTACACGAATGTAAATATATTCAGCAATGAGGATGTACGGTCCTGCCGACAGACAGACCCACAGACAGAGAGGGTCTCCTGGAGGCTGCAGCCTGGCTGGGTCAGGAGCTCCGTTGCCACTCACAGTTATTTATTAGGCTACATATTCACTCTCTATCCATCACCTCGCATTGCCACCCGCTCCGGTCACATCTCTTTAGTGTTTATTACACTGTGCCCCCC